GTGGCTGCTCCACCCTTCTCATCCCTCCACACTTGTTTGTCTTCCTCCCGGCCTTGGGTTTTCCGCTGCTCCCTCCCTGCCCGGTGCTTCAAAGCCCTGCTGTCCTTCCGGGCACTTCCCCACGTCCCTGTTTTCCGTGGGCTCTCCGAAGGCGCCGGGCGGGTGCTGGCTGCGTGTGGGCAGCCCCGGATTTACGGACACGCCGAGCGCTGCCGCCGCAAACCGCTGCTTTCAGGGATCATTCCACTCGACTGGCTGAGAAGAAAACTGCTCGGATAGAAACTATGTCATAATAGTTGGGAACTGGATAACGACGCCCCGCCGCCGGAGCTGATTTATTCTCCTGTGCCAGCGCGGGGAATTGGTCTCCACCAAAGCAGAAAATGGAGCCGGCTCTTCAGGAGGGTTTAAAATCAAGCGGCTCTGGAGTCACCACCTGATTATCTCAGTAACCTTTCTGCAGCCAAACCATTCCCTTCCGTTGTGGACGATGCAAAGCAGATATCCCACAGGATCAAACCAGAGCTCTGTCCCCCCCATTGAAGTCTAACTTTGGTTGTCAGCTCCCCACGGCGGCACCGCTGGGGCTGGGAAGGTGCTGGTGCCTCTCAGAGCGGCACAGGGGGAAAGTGGAGAAGTTTAAGACCAGCAGCTCAAGCGATGATGAGAGGAATGGCAAATGTTCTGGATTTACTCAGAAATCAAGAACACCTGCCTAGGTTTGCTTTGGGAAGGGAGGCATGAGGGGCTGCTTGAGAGCGAATTCCTGCCAGGCAGGGTGTGTCAGTGACCTGCCACTCATCACTGCAGGGACACGGGGCTGCCACGCTGTCACTCCAGCCTGGCCAGCACCTCTGGGGGCCAACACCCCTGGCAAGGGCTCTGGGCAGTCCAGGGAATTAGTTTAACTCTCCATCTCCAGTTTGGTTTTCCAGAGGAGCAGATGAAGCCATGGCACAACCGGCCAGGCCACGAAGCTTGCAGCAGGTCCTCCTGGTGATTCCTGGCAGTGTCCTGGCTGGAGGCTGTTGGAAAAGTGGTGTTTTGCCATGACCCAGCACCAACTCACCCGGATGCTGAAGCAGTCCTAGAGCAAGTTCTCTGCTGCTCCCTTTTCCCAGCACACTGGGCGCAGCTGGAGGTGGCTCGTGTGATAAATGGACAAGGTTCAAAAATACAGCTCCTCTGAACTTTTTAACCTTACACGAAAGGGAGGAATTCTGAGAGCAGTGGATAAAATTCAATTAACTGAGATGACAGAAAATAATCTACTAAGCGCGTACATCAGGCAATTGGAAGCTTTCATACCTTTCAAAAAGGAAATAACCTATTTCTTTCCTTGTTATCTAATGACACAGGAGTTTATTTCTCTGGAAGCAGTTACAAATCTACCTAATGGGGCCTAAATGCTGTTGCCAGGCAATTAGGGGTTTATTGTGTGGCTAAATCTTTCATTTCCGTGGCGGTGATTGTGGTGGCAGGGGAGCTGCCCCTCGGCCCTGCGTGTGCCTGTACCTGCTTCTTTGGGCAACCTGTGCCAGGGCCTCACCACCCTCACAGGCAGGGATTTCTTCCATACACCTCACCTGAATTTCCCCTCTGTCACTTTGAAGTCATTCCCCCTTGTCCTGTCACTACAGTTCCTGATGGAGGGTCCCTCTCCAGCTTCCTTCAGATCCTGGAAGGCTGCTGAAGTCTCCTCTGAAGGCTGAACAGCCCCAGCTTTCTCAGCCTGGAGGAACTGAGGAACTGTCTCCTGTGGGAATGTGTGGTTTGATCCCCTCGTTGTGCCAGCCTGCTGAGAAAGGCGTGTTGGGGTTTGCACTGGGCTGGTAATTTTCCTTTTGGTGTGTTTGCTGCCATGACTTATTTGGTGTCTGATCCATGAGTTATCCCATTTCTCTGAGCTGATTTTAAATGTTCCTGCGCAGTCTTTGTACAGCCTGGGCAGCTTTTGGTTATGAATGAGCGCAGAGACACACGCCAGGGGTATTATTTATATCAAATATATAAGCAGGAGGAATCTTCATAAATCACAGGCTGCTATTATCCTGGGGTTCATGACAGCCATATCTTTTTTTTCCCCAGAAACCCAGAATACATTAAACACCCCGGGCCTTGGAAAGGGACCTTTAAAACCTGTACAATTGCTCTATTTATCCCATTCCTAGAGCAGGCAGCATTTAATATCTGAAGTCTGTTCTATACAAATCAATCTTAGAAGTAAGATTTAAGCCAGAATTTATTGAGGGAAGCTCCTGTATCCGCCTGGAGGGATATTGTGGTTTATGACCTAAGGAACAGGGTGGTTAATCCTGGAGGGAGAGCCTTTGGAAAGCTGTTTTACATCGGGCTGTGCTGGCGATCTCGGGCCAGTTTTGGGGAATATTGGCACGTGTGTGGGCAAGGCTGTGCCTGGAGCAGGATGCTGCAGGGGGATGAGAGCTGGGATGCTGTGGAAGGGCCTGGATGCTGCAGGAGCATGGCTGCCCTGCAGTGGCACCTCACTAGATCATTCCAGAAGGCCCCTGCTTGGGCTGCACTAATCAATAGCTGTGCCCAACAGTTTACTGCAGCGTTTAATTAAACAAATTTACCTTTCGAGGGAAAATCCATCGCGAGCAATTTGGGTCCTGGTGTATCACAGCCTTTTTTGAGGTTACTAGTGCTTTTAACCACTGTCTAAAGTGCAGGCGGTGTTAATTAGCATATTTAGGATTAAGTAGATTTAGCATGCAGTAATCATTCCCTAATTCAGTAAGAACTATCTCTGGTGAATAGTGGACATTAATGACAGTTGCAAGAGCTTAGATATTACATAATCACTAATTACATTCTGCACAATTAGCGGAGACTCCTCAGTGTGAATGGCTAATGGCTGATTTGTGTCAGCAGCCTGTTCTGGCTGTACAGAAATATAAACAGTCTGCATAATGTTCCGAGGGAATTAGCATAGGGAAGGGGGTTATCCATGGAGCTGGGAGGCCGGGAGGAGCGCTGATGGATGGGGTGAGCCCAAGGACAGGGCAGGTGTCTGGACACACCCCTGACCTTCCTCACCAAGGACCTGGCAGTGCCACCTCCTGCTTTGGGGCTCTCGGTTCTCACCGGGTTGGTGGAGGGTAAATCTGGCACTGAGGGGCCTCTGAGGGAGTCTGGGGTGTTTATTGACTGCTGAGCCCAGGGGTGTGGGACCCTAATCTCCTTGGAGACCGGGAACAACACACAGCCTGCCGGGGCAGGAATGGGGACCGACTGACCTGGAAGTGCTGGCTGGTTTGTTTGGGTTTTTTTTTTCCACCATTATTTGAAAATACATTCAGCACACAGCCACATTCAGCATTGCCTCGCCTTTAACCATTTTCTAAAAGGATGAAAAAGTAAGAAAGACTGAATTTTGTTTTCCCCCATGGTGTGTGCCAAAGCTGCCCCTTGTGGAGAGGGCCTTCCTTGGGCAAACCCTACAGAGGTTTGGGCAACAGTGAGGTGGCAGGCAGGGGAATCAATCCTTGCTCCACTGATTTTAAGTGATGTTTGCATCAGGTCCACGGTTCCTTATAAGCAGAATTCAGGCTCCCACGTTTGTTGTGTGATTAAAATGAGGAATAGTGGTATTAAGCCGAGGGAATTGTTTTGGACAAATCCCAGGCTGGAGACCAGCACTGGGCCCCTACACCTTGAGGTATTGGGTATTTTAAATTAAGATTGCATGTGGTTTTAAAAGGCATTGTCAGAGCAAAAGCAATTTAACAAAAGGCAATGTATCTGACGGCGACTCTCCTGTCTGCCAAGTGCTCTTCTCCGCCAGCGCATTGTGGGGACGCAGATTACATCTCCTGAATATTTTTGTCTGTTGCTCGGTTCATTTTCATAATAATAACTCGCATCCGTCTCCATCCTTTCATGTTGAAGGGTTGCAAACTATTACACAAACAGACCCGCTCCTGATGCAGCCACCCCGAGGGGACAGAACAGCCGGCGGCTGCCGCAGCCCCGGGGGGATGCTGAGCCCAGTGGCCTCTGGATGGGGGGGGCCCAGGGGGTTCTGGGGAGCCCCATCTGCAGCATCCCCCACCCTGTACCAGCAGCACCCCCCACCCTGTACCAGCATCACGGACCTGTCAGCGTGTGGCTACTGGGGAAGCCACAGTGGGCATCCCTCTCCATGGCAGGGGGCTGGACCAAGGTGATCTTGAAACTCCCTTCCAACGCAAACCCCGCTGGGATTCTGGGATTCTGTGTCCCAACAGCAACGCCTCGAAGCCCTGGGAACCCCTGCGAGGCTGCTGGGCTGTCTCTGCCCCAGCACACGAGTGGCTCTGCTCAGTTCCACACCACCAGGCAGGAAGGACTTTGAAAGGGTTTATAACATTTGTGATGTTGTTTCCCACCAGCTGGGATGGCGGAGCATTCCGAGTCAGGCCTGAAAATATTGGCCTTTGAGTGCCTTGTGTAGAACTCTGTATTTTTATCTCGGCGGGGCCGGCAGCCGGGCTGATGTGAGTTAGGGCTGCCCTGGAAGCAGTGCTGGGGCTGAGGGCAGCAGGATTCCTGCCCCGTGTGCCAGGGAAGAGCAGTTCAATGGAGCAGCTGCAGCACACAGAGCATCATGTTTGGTTATGGATTCCTCAAACCCCAGTTTTCAGTGTCAGTGATGGTTTTTCCTGGTGTTCTGACACAGCCCAGCACAGTGTGTACTGCGCCCTCCCCGCCGCTGGCCTTCGGAGCCTCCTTCAGGACTGGTGCTGGGGGGCTGGACATGAGCTGCAGGCCCTGGAGTGGGGCAGCATTTCCCTAAGTGCTGTTTGTGGAGGCAGGTGCTATTCCTTACATTATCGCCAGGACATTTAAATCTCCCTGATTGGCATTGTTGTCTCAAAGACGGTGTTTTTCCTGCTGAGAAACTGCATTAGATCGGCAAACGGAGCTCATTTCCATTCACTCAGCAGTCTCTCTAGAAATGACATGCAGTGCTTGAAACTGTTTATTTCCAAATTCAGGCCTCCTCCGCATCAGTCATCAGCTTCAATTACCAGTTTTCCGGAGCCGAGCCATCAGGCAGTCTGACACGAGGGTCCAACCTAATTCCCACCTTCTCCAAAGTCAAGAGCATAATGTGCAGATGAAAAGGTGGAAAATAGCCTGGACTTCATTAGCATGCAGAGCCCGGCTGTTCATTTGCTTGCTGCGAATGGAAGTTCTGACACTCGGCGCCTTCTGCAATATGAGAAAAGTCCTCTTCAGAGTATATGATGTCCTCACCAGCCAGCAAAGGTCATCAAAAAGGCAGGCGCTGACCTTGCTCCCTGCTCTTCATGACTAGTTTATTGATTCCAGGAACACCTCATTACATGCCGGATCAACATATTATTGCCATGTTCAGCGGCTGAATTGTTTACAAGTGTCTTTATAACCAGCAGAAAGCCTTCCGGATGATGCATGACTACACTCATTTGGATGTGACCTGCCAATTAGATGTTATCCGATACGGTGCCGCGTGTCTTGATCCCTGACCGGGCCCGCTGCCCCGCATCGGCACGGGCCCATTTACTACTTCTTTCTAACGGCTCTTTGGGAAAGTGTCCATTAGCCTGTCAGTCTGTAAATATTTTATTTTTGTGCCTCGGCGCCGCCGGGCGCTCCCGCTCCGTCATTTGCTATGCATGAGGTTCATAATCAGCCCGGGGGGGAAGGGGGGGGGTGTTTTATGGCGGCGGCTGATAACCCGCCCCATTTGCAGTCAGCGGCGCTCCCGAGCCGCGTGCCGGCCCCGCACACACACACCCGGCATATTTTATCCAGGCGCCGGCACCGCCGGGCTGCTGATTTATCAGCGGGGGGAAGGCAGGGGTGAACCCCCCCCATCCCCATCCCCAGCCTGCCTTCCCCTGCCTCTAAAGGCCAAATAACTTACCACCCAGCACTTCCCCCTGCCCCGTCCTCTGGGTGGTTTGGTTCCCCTCCGTTGATACACGGCCCGGTTCCTCATCCCGGCCCGTGGCCGGGCAGCTCGGGGCGTTTACACGAGAATTTCACAAATAAATCACACGGCACGGCTGCTATTTTAATCTCTCATTGCAGACACTTCTGGGCTCCATAAACCAGAGAGTGGCACGGCAGCTCCACGGGCGAGTCTGTGAAGAGGCATCTCGGTGCCCAAAAGCGGCGCTGGGGACGCGCCTTCCAGGCACCCGTCGGCACAGGCGGGATTTGCCTTTTCCCACCTCAGGGTACATGGCCCTGAGGTGACAAAGGGAACCCCGGGTGAGGCTGAGGTGGCAGTGCCAGGATTTCCGTGGGGTGCGAGGCCCAGCGAATGCAGAGCTGTGCCCAGAGCTCTGCAAACATTAATTAAACTACCCAACAACGCCTGGCAAGTGCCAGTGCTGAAATCCCCGTGCTGGGGTTAAATCCAGGGGCCAAAGGGGCTTAAGGGCTTCCAGGGTGAGCCATCAGCACCACAGATCTCCAGTGGCCTGCACTGCAGAGCCAGTGTTGCATCTCCCTGATCTCCAAACCCGCCGTGCCAGGCCCAGGCTCCGTAAGCCCTGAGCCACAGGAACGTGTGGAGAGCAGGGGATGCCCCGTGCTGGGTGACAGAAAGCACCTGGGCATCTGGTTCCCTCCTTACAACATGGAGCATTCAGGCACCAGGGCTGGAAAAGGGGGATTTGCATTCCTTAAAGCAGCACGTTTACCTTCCGAAATAAAACCTGGGTTTGTGTGTAATTAGAGCTGGGGCAAAACACAGTCTCAGTCTGAACAGCCACAGGCTCCAGAGACAGCACATTGCATTGATCTCAGTTTTGGAAAGGAGGAAAAAAAAGCTTCCATTTCCTGGCAAATCCATGGGTCTGGGCAGCCCTGGAGCTGCTGGTGTTGAATATTCAGGGGGCTGATTCACCATGGTGAGTCTGGGCCTTACCCTGGCACCAGCGCTGCAGCCAGGTAACAGTGTGCTGGCACAGCAGGAGTTGAGTCTGTGAGCTCCAAATCCCGACTGGGATCTCCCCCTGGGGCTGGGATCTCCCACACCAGCAGAGGTACCAGGTCTTGGCCTGTCCCGCAGCACCGTGCTGAGCCTGGCATTATTTATGCTGTGATGAGGCTGCAGTGGTTTATCAAGCCCCAGACATCCATCCAAATTTGGCACCTGATCCCTTCACTTCTGTTTACGGCCCTATTTCTGGATTCCTGCTCATGGTGTAAATTCTCTCTTCAAATGGGAAAGAAAAATCAGCTCTTTATGACAGCAAACATGAAAGTTACGTGACTGTGGAGAGGAGCATTAACCTCTCCTTTAGCCTGGAGAACTTCATAATCTTTTTAAAATCAACTTTCTATTAATTTTAGAGTGATGCTTAATGCCTGAAGGGAGTGAGGAGCCATGGCATCTCCAGGGGGACTCTTGGCAACTGTAATTTAAGGTCAGGCCTGGGGTGCTGCGGGAGCCACGATCCTGCCCTGCTGTCCTGCCCCACTGCCCAGGGCAAGTGGCACCAGGAGGGGCCACAGCCCCCCCACCTTGGTGGCCTCGCCAGGAGGCTCCTTAGCAGAAAAATTAGGTGGTCACTGCATTTATTCACGGCACCCAGTGTGCAAATTTAATTTTCCTTCTCGTTGCACTCCAACAGAGTAATTGGGCAGGGCAGGGCAGGAACAAAGGACAAGGTCAGTCAGTTGTCTGGCAAATGGAATTACACGTCGCTCCGAGGAGAGGTTTGGAAACCACATTCCCTGGCTGTGTCCCACCAATGTAAAAGTCAGAGGAGATGGGCAAGGCAGGATGTTTGTGAGGGTTTGGGTTGTTTGGAGCTCAGTGATGGTGCCGACGGGGTTGAGTGTTTATGGATGAGAACTGGGGCAGGTGGCCTGGTGGGAGGCTGCTCTGGACCCTCAGCCAGGGTGGAGAGGCAGCTAAATACTCTGTAAGCAGCTGAGAGAAGTGTCACAGTCACCAGCTCTTGTTATGGGGGACTTCAGCTTACCAGGTGTCAGCTGGAAATAGGGAACAGCAGAGAGGAGACAGTCCATGGAGTTCCTGGAGTGTGTGAAAGAGGAACTCCTGACTCGGGGGGCTGAGGAGAGACCTTTTGGCTCTGCAGCTGCCTGAGAGGAGGGTGTAGGCAGGTGGGGCCGGCCCCTTCTCCCAAGTAACACATGACAGGACAAGAGGAAATGGCCTCAAATTGTGCCAGGGGAAGTTTAGTTTGGATATTTGGGAAAATTTCTTCACAGCTGCCCAGGGAAGTGGTGGATCCCCATCCCTGGAGGGATTTAGCAGCTCTGTGGACGTGGTACCTGGGGACATGGGTTAGTGGTGGCCTTGGCAGTCCTGGGGGGAACGGTTGGACTCGGTGATCTTAGAGGGATTTTCCAACCTTAACAGTTCCACGATTCCATGTTTGCAGTGCGCTGGCTCCGATTAGTCCTGGGGCAGGGGGAGAGCCAGGGCTTCCAGGAGAACCCGTCCTCTTTCCAGGTGGTCGTGTAGGGAATGGGGCAGCTGAGGGGCTGTAAATCCTGCCCCCAGCAGGGGTGATTCCTCCCCACTCCCAGGGCACTGGCACTGGCCACAAACCCCCCCGGGAGCCCCAGAGCGGGGGCACAGCCCGGCCCCACAGCACACACCGGCCCCTCCTCCCCGGGGGGGGCTTTATTAATTACTGCTGATTAGTTATTTTACATATTGTCACTGAGGGGGGTTTGTTGCAGGGAGCTGCTGATATTTCAGGGATAGGGAGGGTGAGTGCAGCTGAATCCCGGGACAGGGCTCCAAAGCCCCGGCCGCCGGCACAGCCCTCGCCGAGTGTTTCCAAACTGAATAGTCATTGGGTTGGCAGATAATTCAGAAACTATTTGTATGAGCTGTTTATCAAATTATTAACTGCACAGATGTTGTTTGGTTGAAGAGCAGCTGAACCTTCTCTCTGCCAGCCGTGGAGACAAAGGTCTGCAGGAATAATTGGAGATGTGCATGGAATATTAAATTAATTTACTGCTCTTAATTCTTATGCAAATCCTGACCTCTGATAGAGCCTATCAATTACCCTGCACACAGGGAAAAGAAAGGAGAACAGTTTCTTTCTTTTCTTTTCCCCCCTCTCCTTTTTTTCCCGTTGTTCTCCAGTTTGGGGTTTTGTTTCTTTTTTTTCTTTCTCCCTTTTGAAAGGGAACTTGGGAAAGGAAATATTTGGGGCAGGAAAAAAAAAGCCATTTATTTGTGGGAGAAGCAAAGGGCTGGGGTTATTTAATTGAATCTCCTGGTTGCAGCGATGTCCCCTGGGGAGTCTGGGTGCAGTCTTTAAGGCTGGGGCGGCTCAGGGAAGGCCTGGGAATGGAGGCCAGAGCTGGGCTGGAATAGCTCCACACACTTCCCTAGGAGGGGCTGGAGGGGCCCAGCTCTGCCAGCACTGTGTTGGGCTGCAGTGGGACAGGACTGGAGGCCCAGGTTGATCCCGGGTGGGTTTTGGTGGGATTGGGGGCAGGAAGGGTCCAGCTGGGGGTTCGGGTGGGTTATCGGGAAGGGCTTCCCGCTGCTGGGAGCTGGGCTGGTTCTGCCAGTAATTACCAGGGAAGGAGAAAGGGAATTTGTTGTCACATCTATTGTGAGGTGCCAGGTAAAATGAAGCAGGATTTAATTGGTCCTCATTAAACAGAGCTGGTTTTCTCACACGGAGAAAGGCCTCGTGCGGGCAGCGTTTAATTGGGGTTGTGTGCGCGCTGCTCAGCCAGCGCTTAGAGGAGCACTCCGGGCCCTGGGCTTTCATCGCAGTTTCTAATAAGGATAAATAAATAGGATGAATAATGCCATGGGTCTCTCCCTCGACCCCTGCAGCACAGCGCTGTTCCCCCCGATATCCATGGATCCAACACAAGCGGGATCCCTCGGCAAGCAGCACCCGGCGCGGCCCCGTGGGCTCCGTTAGCACGGGAAAAGGGAGCAAAACCCCCAGTTCCACAACCACGGAGCAGCCTGGCAGGGCTGGGATGGGGAATTCCTTGGTTAGTGACTGTCAGAGTGGAGCGCCAGAATGGGGATGGGGCTCGGGGGGGGGGCAGGAGGGGAAAGAAGGGAAAGAAAAGAAAGGAGGGAAAAGAAAACGATTTTTTTCCTTTTTCTTTTTTTTTTTTTTGCTTTCCCCCACCTGTAAATCCTGGGAAGCGCTTGGAGACTGCACTCCCCCTCCCACGCAGCCCACTCGGGTAATTTCATTTATCCCGCAAATCTAATTAGCAATCCGTGGCTGACATTAATACGGATCTAATGAGGCCGGCGATGACCAGATTTGCGGGTGAGCGCTGACAGAGCCTTAAAGGCACATCGCGCCCTGGCATCGGCGGGACCCGGGCGGGGGAAGAGCTGCTTTAAAGGGGGGAAAAAATGAGGAGGGGAAAAAAAAAAAAAGGAAAGAAAGGAAAAAAAAAAAAAAAGGAAAGGCCGAGGGAGGGGGAGAAAACCACGAAGAAAACCCCCGCGGGTCAGGCTTGGCTTATTAAGGGAGCTGGAGCTTTGCTGGGCGCAGCTTATCCGACAGCATCGGGCCTCCGTCCTGGCTTATCCCGAAATACTGTTCTTCAAAGGAGAAAAAGGAGGGGGGGAAATAAAGGAGGGGAAAAAAAAAAAGGAAAGAAAGAAGAAGCCAGAGCCCACGGAGTCGCTGTGCAATTTATTCCGAGGGGTGGCTGTTGAGAAGGCGGCAATTTGCGGCGGCCGGGGGTTATTTAGTGCGATATGAAATCAAATGATCCTATTGCTCAAATAACAGTGTCTGGGAGGAGAAGCGAGCCCGCTCCAAAGGTAATTGTCTCCAGATGATATTCCCATTATCCCCCAATCCCGGCCTAAACGCTGCCAGCGCCGGGCTGGAATCGATACGGGGGGAGGACCGGGGGGGTCCCGGGGCCGGGGGGAGGCATCCCCGGCACTGACCCCCCTCGGGAAGGGCGGCAGGGCTTTGGGAAGCTCCTAATTCCCCGTGGCTGCCGTCTGTCCGCGCCTCGGCGGGAGCGGCCAACGCCGGCGGGGGAGCCGAGCCCGGAG